TGTGCACGTCGGGCAGCTTCTGCGGGCACACGGGCGGCAGCGTCTCCGCCTTGCGGATACCCGACCACTCCAAAGGCGACATGGGCGGCATGAAACGCAGCTTGCGCACGGGCGGCGCCGCGTAGGGCACGCCGAGGTACTTAGCCACGGGCTGGAGGGCGCCTAAGTTGGGCGTGGTGATGAGGCCGCGGAGGCTGCCGTAGCGCGTCCGCACGACAGGCGAAGGGTGGTAGAGGCCGCCCACGCCCGCCTCGCCCGACAGCGCCAGCAGCACCGCTCCGGCGAGGACGACGCGCCAAGGGACTCGCACCCACTCCATGCTGGTGCTGACGCCGCCCGAGATGTAGATCTCGTCACCCTTCTCTTCGCGGCGATCTTATCGCTGTCGCCGGCGATTTTCTGGCTCACTCGCGGTTTTTCTCTTTTGCTTTTCCTTTCTCTTCTCGCCTTCACTGGCGACACTCATGGCTCTGCGGCAACACGGGCGCTCGCACGCCCCGCTCGCGTCGCCTCGCGGCCGCAGAGGAAGGGGTCCTCTCTGGCGCCCGCACTCAAGGAGAACTTCACCACTGGATAACTGGCACTAACCCTTCGCCATTCGACCACTCTGAGCACCACTCGATTCGCACTAGGCCGTCGCCCTCGGACCGTTCTCGCCTCGCCCCCAGTCTCATCCCGAGCCTCCCGCCGCCCGTCCCCTCAGGCCCTCGCCCTCGCACCGACGCAGGCACGGGACGCACGCGAACACGAAGCCGAATCTCGCACGAGCCGCCGCCTCCGACCGCGGGCGCCGCTCATCCCGAAGATGACGATCCCGAACACTTTGGGCTGCGCATCTCCGCTCTCGGCCGAACGTGCGGTGTCTTGAGCCCTGAGTGCGAGCTGCTGCACACGCACGCACAGATACGAACACGTGCAACTTAAAGCCGAAGCAAGAGCACTGCTTGTGCACGCTAATCTGAACAGGAAATAAATTTGAAACACAAGGCTTTTTCTCCTCCTTTCTTTTCAGAAACTTGTGTTAACCGAGTACGTCATCAACACCTGGCTTTTATCAGATATGTTATCCGTTTTTCATTTGCTTTTCTTAACTGTATCGAGATTAATTTCTTTCCCGAGGCGGAATTCCAATCTGAAAGTAAAAAGGAGAGAAAAGTCATTGCGTGGAAGGGAACACGAGGAAACAGGAGAAAACAATAACGATGGGAGTGCAAAGAGAAGTGATAAAGCTGCGGGCAAGAGGTGAGCGCAGGCGGCTGATAAGAATGCAGATCAGCGATATCATTTGTACGAAATAAATACTGCTGCAGAAGTTGCTGCTGATGCACTGCCCGAAGTACAATTAGTGTTATTATTATAATGATTGATGATGATGACGATGATGATGACAATGACGACGATGATGACGATAATGACGACGACAATGACGATAACGATGACGATGATGTAGATGATGGCAGTCACAATAAAATGATGAACAAAACACAAAGCCGGCTAATAGACGTACGAAATTTTCAACACTCAAGCTTCCAGCTTCTTTTAGGCTCGTCAGATTTCTCCTCCTTTCCCCGCCCGCCGCTCTCGGCCTCTCTCCCTTCCTTGTCAGCGCCTGGCCTCCTTTTCCCCCCTTTCTTCCCCCATCTCCTCTTCTCCCCTTCCTCCTTTCGCCCAGCTCTCATCACTTCACTTTTTCTTTCGGCCTTACTCTTCGTGCTGCCTCGCGCCAAAACACCTAGTCATATTTCTGCCACTGGACCCCTCCCCCTCCCCCCACCCAACTCACTTACCTCTAGCCTATCACCTCTCCTCCCCACTTCCTTCCTCTCCTCCTCCCTTTCCCTTTCCTCCCTCCTCCTCCTCCCCTTTCACCTTTCCCTTCCTCCCTCCTCCCTTTTCAGGTCCCTCCCTCCCTACTCCCTTTCACCCTTCCCTCCCTCTTTCTCCCTGCCCACGCCCCCTCCCTCCATCCCAACCTCCTATCTCCCCTCCTCCCTCCCTCCCTCCCCTCCTGTTTTTCGGCAGGTTTGAAGGGAATTTGTGTCCTCAGGTAGAGCTTTGTTGGCAGGGCTCCGGCCTCGCTTCGGCAGCCATTCATTAACAGGACGCGATCATCAATCTGCTCTTTTTTCTCTTTTCTCTCTTTCTTTTTATCGAAATACTTGTTTGATGTTCTCATTTACGTAAAAGTGGGGGTAAATGGGTTATTTCCATTACTCTATTCATACAACTTCATACATCTATCCATTGTTATCACCATTTTTTTTTTATCATCACATGTCTTTTAACTCAAGCTGAGAGAGAAGAAAAGGGAAGAGAACGACAGTGTATGAAAATGAACATTAGAAAGTAGACAATATCCGCTCAACAAGCTTTACAAAACTTACGCTTTAATTTTCAGTTCTACTTTATGAAAAGTACTTTTTATCATTGAATGGATAAACGGAATGAACAAAAAGATGAAAGGAATGATTAGAAAAAGGACACAATTGAAAAGATAATGTCAACGATGACTTTTACAACGAATATTTTGATAATAATTAGAATTAATAGTTTAATTCAGTTAAGCTCTACTTTATAAATAAACGGAATGACAAAGAGATAATAGGAATGATCAGAACAGGAGACAATTAGGGAGATAATGTCAACGATGACTTCTACAACGACGATTATGATATTAAGTGACTCAATCAAAGCTTTCCCTGTCCCGCACGCCAATCCCGGTATGGAAGAAAGCGCTGCGTCTATCCCGGTTCTGGCTGCCTTGTCCTGGTCTGGCTAGTGTATGCAGCCAGGCCTATCCCAGACAGGGTGCGGAGAGCGCCTATGATTTGGGAATGATAATGACTATCACAATGTCAGAAATAATAAAATTAAAAACAAACAACAACAACGATGATGATGATGATGATGATGATGATGATGATGATGATGATGATGATGATGATGATGATGATGATGATGATGATGATCATGATAATAATAATAATAATAATAATAATAATAATAATAATAATAATAATAATAATAATAATAATAATAATAATAATAATGATAATATGATGATCTTATGATAATAATGATATTAAGGATGATAAAAATTATAAGGATGATAATGATAATTATGATAATTATTATCATTACAATGATAATGACGATGATAATATTACTAATAATAATGATAATAATAACAATTATACTAATAATGACAGTATCATTATTAGTAGTGGTAGTAAAAATAATAATAATAATGGCAATAATAATAGTAATAATAATTATCATAATGATAACAAACATTATTTTAAAAACAACCAGAAAAATAATGGAATTATAATAATAATAACAGAAGTAACAACAAGGACAAAAGCAGTAATAATAGTATTATCATGATTAACAGTAACATCAGCAATGATGATGATGATGATGATGATGATGATGATGATGATGATGATGATGATGATGATGATGATGATGATGATGATGATGATGATGATGATGATAATAATAATAATAATAATAATGATATAATAATAATGATAATAATAATAACAATGATAATGGTAACCGTGATGAAAAATTATCATGAATAAAATAAAATGGAATAATAATAACAATAACATAATAATATATAATAATAATAATAATAAATAACAATGCTGATAATAATGAATAATGATACAGTATGATAAATGATGTTAACAACAACATTAACAGCAACAACAACAATAATACTAATACTAATAGTAATAATGATAACAAACACCGCCAATATAATAATATCAATAACAATATAATACAATATAAGAATAATGGCAATAATAATAACACCAATAACAACAGCAATGATGATGATGATGATTGTAATAATAAAAATGATAATAATGATGATAAAAACGATAATAATAACACTAATAACAACAATGATAACAACATTGATAACAAGAAAAGATGATGATAATGATAATGTTAACAATAACTCATGCTACTGATAATTAATATTACTAGCAATAACATCAATAGTGATAACAATGAAAACAATAATGATTACAATAACAGAATGTTGATGAGAAGGATAACATTTATGATAATATTAATAGTAATAACAACAACAACAACCATTATAATAATAATAATAATAATATAATATAATAATATAATAATAATAATAATAATAATAATAAATAATATGATATAATATAATAATAATAATAATAATAATAATAATAATAATAATAGTAATAATAATAGTAATGATAATAATAATGATAATAATAATAATAACAATAATGATAATGATAATAATAATAACAACAACAACAATAGTAATACTAGTAGCAGTAGAATAAGGTTAGAAATAATGACAATAAAAGTAATGAGAGCAATAGAAATAATGCTAATAATGCTGATAATAATGATAATAGTAATAATGATAATGATAATGATAATAATAATAATAACAACAACAACAACAACAAAAAAAAAATAAATATAATAATAATAATAATAATAATAATAATAATATAATAATAATAATGATACAATAATAATAATAATAATAATAATGATAAATAATACTAATGATAATGATGATGATAATATAACAATGATAATGGTAATAATAGTAATAATAATGTTAATGATAATAATAATAAAAATAATAATAATATAATAATATATAATAATAATAATAATAATAATAATAATAATAATAATAATAATAATAATAATAATAATAATAATAATAATAATAATAATAATAATAATAATAATAATAATAATAATAAAAATAATGATAATAGAATAATGATAATAATAATGATAATAATAATAATAATAAGGATAATTATTATTATCATTATTATTATCATCATTACTATTATCATCTTTATTGTTATTATCATCATCATTGTTACTATGATCATAATGGTAATATTTATGATAACAAAATAACAATAATAACAATGATAACAATCAAAACAGTAATAGTAACAATGATAATAATAATATTGATAATAGTATTACTACTACTACTACTAAGTGTAATAACAACAATAATGATGAAAATAACAATAAGAATAACAAGAATGATAGTAACAATGCTATCAATAATAATAATAAAGTAATAATGATAGCAATAATTAAAAAAAACAATCAAAATCGACAAAATCTATAATAGTCCTAATAATGATAATAATAACAATAACGATAATAGTAATAATGATAATAATAATGATAATATAATATAATAAAATAATAAAATAATAATAATAATATAATATATATATAATAATAATAATAATAATAATAATATATAATAATAAT